CAAGCATAGCAGGCTCACTAGACCACAGAGGACACTTGACAAGGGCTCCTGGTATTTATCTCCAAATCAGCCCACCTGAGTTCCAAAAATTCACATAAGTGTTGTAAATATATGCCCCCTACATGACTGGTGCTAGTAGGTAGATATCTACTTTGCATAATGGGAAATATAGCCCATTAGGATAGGTAGCCAGTTGTGCATTCACGCCAGGTTGACCTGCCAGTAATTGGGAGTACCCGCCTCCTTTGAGGACGGGTCTGTCTCCATTGGTACGGATACAGTGATGCAAGTGCATCACTGGCTTGCCCCCTTTACCCCTTCCCCCCACATTACACTTCTTGGGCCACTGGAGTTGGGAGGCATGGCTAGCTCATTGGCTGAGAGCGATCAGTTATCGCTTATATTGTCAACCAATGAGCTGACCCTGCACAAAGGCTATAACTCAGGAGAGCTTCCAGTTCTCATAGAGGAGTTGACCTGTGCCCAGTGGACCCAAGGTAAGATGCTCATCAAACCATGCGCAAACAGTATAACTATGAATTTTTACAATGGGGGTGGTGGGGAAAGTATCAGAGGGCACTGCTTCTGTATACATAACCACTATCTGCCCAATTTGCCTTCTTGTTTTTACCTGGGGTCTGTAAAGTGCAGGTTACCAACTCCACTATAGACTGCTGAAAGATCTCAGAGTTATTGGCAGTACTGTAGACCCTAGCTTATTGGCTGAGGAATAAGACTATCATCACTGTGTATAATCTTTTATGGTGAGACTCTGTAACTAAAGCTCAAGGTTTTATAAAGTAAGAGGCTTTTAATCTTGTTTGTTAGAAAAAGGTCCACTAAATAGAGGTGTATATATTACACAAAAGAGGTACGTGAGAAACACGCATACTAGAAATTGGGACACGGGCGCATACCTCTATTGTCTATATAGATAGTGTGAAACCGCAAGGGAAGTAATTAGTGAGTGCTCCCCTGGGTAGCCGCCCATTCGTAGAGACGAATGGCACCCAGGGGGGAGCGTTCGTATCCTGAAAGGAGACGCTTCTCTTGCCTGGTTTCCACACAGGGATCCCGCGAACGGAGACAGTTCGCGACAGGGGTGGTTGTGAGGGTTCCTGAGGTTGGTGTGGGCACTGGCTAGTTTGGCAGGCTTTTCTGTGCCTGGGAGACGATCCCTTTTCCTACGCTTTGGCTCCCAGACACAGAGGCTCCTGGGAAGAAGACCCCCTGTCGTCTGGTGTGGGAAACCCTGTGTTTGGGTGGCGGTCTTTGAGGACAAAGAGAACAAACTATCTTTTCTGCGCTGGGACCCCAGGGAGAGGGAGGAGCCTGGGATGTGACCCAGTATGTGTGTGTCGGAAACCCCCTGCATGGGGTTATGCATAAAAGCAGAGTGTGGCACAATAAAATCGTGTTGTACCTCCAGAACTAGGTCTTGTACAATTACTGGGAGGGAAATGGGTCTCTTTGCATTCTAAGTGTGGAGTAAGGAAGGCCATAGCAGAGGCAACAGGTCGGGTTACCCAGAGTCCGTTACAGTATACAAAAGAAATTATTTTTAAATCATTAACAACTGTAATGCTTTGATTGTGAGACGCAAGATCTTTATTTTTCTGATCCTCTGGCTCCAAACTTAGCAGGGCCAAAGGAGGCCAGTTCACAGAGCCTTTAAATCCTATTAGGGGCAGAGGCTATTCAGTCATCTGTCACGATTAACACCCAATACCCTGGTCAGATGACTAAAGACTTGTAACGGGACTCATGAATCCCAGGAACAAGATTGTTTTACCTCTCCGCTTACAATTCCTGGAGAGGTAGGTGTTTGGAAAAGGATCTCGATCCCTTTACAGCTCCTCTACAATGCATACTGAATTTTCTCTCCTCTCTTTTTTTTGGAAGGATATTCCTATCGCTCCAATAATGTGATGTGCTCAGGGATACTAGCAGCTCACATGTCTATTTGGGGATACTATTCGGGTATGTAAACTTTTTTGGGGTATTTGTACATCATGTCCCCCCTAATGCTAAATACCCTCACCTGCGGGACACCACTTGGTTCTGCTTTTTTGAGAAATTGGCCAGGAAATTATTCCTTATCCTTGCATCAATTGTTGCCAAAATGTACACTTATTTTGTTTACCATTTTTTTTTTTTAAAGTATGGCAATGCTTGATGGCAATGCTTTTTCCTTTTACCAGAAGGGGTCACTTTTCAGAATTCGCACTGCACAAAGTCAGATTCCTCGATAGTTTTTGATTCATTCTTTTGTGAGGATCCAAAACCTTGAGTCATCAAGACTCTCGTTTCTTACATTTAGGTTACAGCTCCTCTCCATCCTTTTCCTTCAGGGCAATTACTAATTTCTTATGCTAGACTGTATAAACTAGTTTTGGAGGGGACATTAACCTCTGGGGTTCGGTGACTTATCCTGGTCAGGTGTGGACTCATCTTTTGGAGCCCACTCTGTTTGCAGGAATGCAGTCTCTTCTGCTTTTACTTCTGGAGGTTGAATTGGTCTCAGGAAGACATATTTTGTATTTTTTACTTCTGGCCTTACTCTCACAATTCTTTTACACTTATCGGAGCGTTAAAAGAGCAAAATATTAAACCACCTGCCATGTAGTACAGTTGGATATTATAGGTACACTAAAGCTAGTGTAATCTACAATGATCATTCAAAATATTTTTGTTTGCAAATAAGAGCAATTCCCATAATTTTCATTTTCTATAATCCTTTGTCTCATGACAAGGTTATCACGTGTCAGTTTTCTGTTACAATGTAGTTCATGCATCTGTATATAGTTTTAGGTCTGTGTGGTTTCATATATGCTCTACTGAGCCAAAATGTTCCATGATGATGTGCAATAAAGGCCACTTGGCTTATAACATGGCTGAGTTTCTGGACTTTTTGTAGGTTATACCATGGCGTTTGACAAATTTAAATGGGATTTGAAATTTTTTTTCCCCCCCAGCAGTGACTTCCTTATTGCTAAAAAAAACAAACAAAAAAAACAAAAAACTGTGACTTCTAACTTTGTTTAATGATAAAATTTATTCCAGACTCGTTTTGCTCCTTGGGTCTTCTTGAAAGGTTTGAATATATCTATGCTGACTAACAAACTCCAGGCCTTCCTGAATCCTGTGTATTTATTTTAAGATCACTGCACAGAGGTGGACTGTTTTTAACTGATTATGTGAATTCTGAACTTTCTTATTTAGAGGCGTTTTATAGCAATGCTGGTGAATGCTTATGCAACCATCATACATGTTTTGTCTTTTAACTAACTTTTGTGTTACAATAAAAAATATTTTGCATTATTGGGTATATTGTATAAAACAAACTAACATTCTTAATAAATGTTAATTCGGAGTGTCCTTTTAAGCAAGGCCTTGTTGTCTGGTATTACAAAGTAAATTGTCATAAATAAAGACTCAAATGCAATTTATTATATGAGAATATTTATTTCCTAAAGATCTATAGCCTATAATTACATGATTTAATCCAAAGAGATTTGCTCCCCTGCGCGTGCTTGTGTGTATACACACAAATACTCTTTTAGGCATATACATATATATAATTTTATATAGAGGCATTTAACTCTAAAGTAACAATCAAATAATTTAACCAGGCATCTTCTTCTAGGATACATGGAGAAGAAATGCTGGTGAAAATATGGTACTTTTTTCACAGGATAACGAAAATGTTTAAAAATAACTTTTTTCTAACATACAAATTTTATAACTTTCTATTGAAAAGTATTCGCTCGTAGCTGAATTAGTATTGAAAGAAAACTGAAAAACCAAGAGTGTATATAAATATAGATATTATTGGTCTATTGATTGGCCAAATTGTTAATTGGGAAGGTAATGGACTAGTGAATGGATAGATATCAAACTCTCTGTATTCTTTACACTTCCGCAGACTGTACAGTCAGGTCAAAAACAACTTACAAAAGCACTTACCCTTAAAGGAAGAATCATTCAGAATGAGGTGCATTCACTAAACATTGTATTGTAGTAGACAGACCCCAAATTACCAAATTCAATATAGCCCGAAAAGGGGGATTTTTCTAAATTGGCTACTTTGACCTTAATTTCGAAATGTGGTTATAAATTCACTTTAAGTCACTGTTTAGTAATTATGCTATTAAATAAAACATTTTTCTTCAGAAGAATAATGGGCAATTTAAGTAATGGCACATGATAAAGAGTTTGTATTTAAATATAAATGAGAAAATAAACTGGAAGATTCATAGCTAGGGGTGTTTTTTTTTTTTACATTGGGAATCCTAAGCAATTATCTAACAGCCCAATGGGCTTCTTTTGCCTTTGCATCTATATTATTTGGTAATAAACAAAATATGCAGGTCACACGTCAAAATATATCAGTCCCGAGGGAAATTGTGCTTGGGGTGCAATTTAGTACAGGACCAGCCCTGTCTAGAGCTCTGTACTTGTGCTACCCTGCACACTGTAGACAAGTTTATTACAGAGGCCAAAGTTATCATAATACTTTTCTCCAGGGGAGATATTTTCCAACATAACCCCTTCATAATAAATACATTTTTACTGATCTTAATAAAATCCTACTTTATTATAAAGATGGACTTTCCACATAAAAATAAGAAGAAATAAAACTGCTGATGAAGCTTAAAATTATGAGCAGATTTGTGGGGCTTTTATTGTGTTTTCGAAAGTCTTATTTCTTTTCTTTTTTTTTTAAATTGCATTTTAATTATTACTTTTTTTTTAAATGTATTTATTTTATTTTTTTTTTACACATTTTGCTAAACAACATTACTGCTAAGAAATATTTTTGTGTCATTGTCAGTAAATAGTTTACTAAGAACATAAATCATGTTTTCCAATTCCTGCTGTAAATTTTGAGCTGAAATTATTTGAAAAATTAACATAAGCACAGAAATAACATTACTTTATGATACTTAAAATAATTACAAAAAATATATATATATATATATTAAATGAGCTGCTCCTGTTCATCGGCGAACGATTGGTGCTGAGCGGTCGTTTGTCACAGTTGGCCGAAGTGTTACAGTAGCAAATGGATTTTCTCCGCTGTAAAAAAAATAAAAATAAAATAAAATTATTTATATTAAAAAAAAAAAAAAGCTCAAAAGTAAACAAGAATATGATGAAAGATTATTGTATTAATGTTGTGACAGATAGGGTCATGTGCGCATTAACTGTCCCCTCAATCCCCCAGGCCAACCTGGGGGTGACCCCAGCGATATGGACTAAATTATTTTTTTTTTTTAACTCCGCATTCCAAAAAAAAAACACCCCTAGCTATGAATCTTCCAGAATATGATGAAAGATTATTGTATTAATGTTGTGACAGATAGGGTCATGTGCGCATTAACTGTCCCCTCAATCCCCCAGGCCAACCTGGGGGTGACCCCAGCGATATGGACTAAATTATTATTTTTTTTTAACTCCGCATTCCATGCAATTATAAGAATTGAATGAAAATACTCAGCAAGGATGCAGCCCAGTGACATAGTTGTGGCAAGAAAATTTAGATTTTTTTTTTTATTCTTTATTTTATTCGTGCATGAGTTAACAGTTAGGTCAATAGCAATGAGTGACCATACATTAACAATTGGTAACATGGCATTAGAAATACTATGCACATTTTTGAAAAAGTAAAGGTAACGAACATGTTGAAGCAAGATGCGTCAATGGCTATGAATGCGTGGTGTTTGCTGGAAGTTTGCAGTTTAGTTTAACACTGAGTAGTTAAAGATATTAAAGGCCAACCCTAGGTACCCAGACCACTTCAGCTTAATGAAGTGGTCTGGGTGCCAGGTCCCTCTAGGATTAACCCTTTTTTAATAAACATAGCAGTTTCAGAGAAACTGCTATGTTTATGTTAGGGTTAGGGTTAATCCAGCCTCCAAATCCTCTAGTGGCTGTCTCATTGACAGCCGCTAGAGGCGCTTGTGTGCTTCTCACTGTGAAAATCACAGTGAGAACACGCAAGCGTCCATAGGAAAGCATTATGAATGCTTTCCTAAAAGACCGGCTGAATGCGGAGGCAGATGCTCAACCCCTCTGTTCTTGTGCGTCCAACTGGTCTGTTACAATTACTTGTTTGTTCGTCCACCAGTTGTACAGCACAGCTGAATTGCTGGTGCTTTTATAAATAATAATAAGAATAAGAATAATCAGATGATGCATGAGCACTTTGCAGCCATCGGTACTATTGTGTAGCAGGGTAAGGTTGGGAACAGCCATGTAGTATAGAGAATTGTCTTCATTAAAGACCAATTTTTAACACTATGTAAACATTATACAGGGGACAAAATCCAACCACATGTCTTTAACACGATTGGCCTTTAAAACCAACTTTGCTAACCATGCAAGGGAGTGTGATTGGCACTCAAGGGATTAAAGGTCAACTTCAAGCAACAAATGTACATGAATATCTGAAAGAGCAATAAGCTAAAATTCCTAGGTCCTCCTCCCCCAATAACACAGCTAGTCTTCATTATGGATTGTATTAAATTATTTCATAAACAAAGGCATTTTTCTCTTAGTGGAACTTTAACTCAACTAGTGCTGATAACGATGCAAAGGGGACAGATTGAATAAAAGAACCAAGTGATACTAAAGCAGGTCATATGAGATTACTAAAATTCATTATTAACCAAGAGCTGTTGGCTAGCAAAGACACTACACAACGGTGTTATGCTTCAAAAGCTTCACCAGAACTGTATCAGCCAGAACTTACCTTAAGAATGGATGCTTCATTAAGCCATTTGCAGCAGGTTTCTATAATAGAATGAAAGGTAATATCAGTTTATAAGTTTTCTACCTAAAAGTCCTACCGTTTTGCTTTGTTGATGAAAAATGTAGAAATGTTAGATTCTTACATATTAACTATGCCAAGATTGCCATGCTTTACTTGTATTAATGTTATTTGGCCAGGTGGTGGCAGCAATGCACCATGTTGAGCAAACAGGACTGAAATGTTATGGTAAGGTAGAGAACAAATAGGAGGAGAAGAAATCGACATTTTAAAACCTGTGCAAGATTCTGAAGGGCGTTCCGGAAAACAAAGAGTAGAGAAGTTTATTCCAAACATACTGGTTAGATCTCTTTCCTACACTGTAACAAGTAATATGGTAGGACTATAAACATGGGGTGTATCACAAAAGCTCAGGTGTTAAAGCAAAAAATAAAATAAAAGTCACTGTTTAGTAGATATAGCCCAATTAAAACTTGCGTGCATTTAATTATGTATTTTTTTTTCATTGGGGTATATCTTTAAACAGTTTGCAAAAGCTGTAGGTCTTTTGTCTGAAGCCTTTACAAGCCCTCCCCTTCTAACTCCGCCCAGACTTTCTGTGGCTGTCCAATCACACTTTCCAATGCAGCTCAATGAGAATTCTTTGCAAGGCAGGTGCTCTGTGCAATTGCTGCCTCTTGAGTTTAGCTCCACTGAGCTAACCAAACCAGAAAGTAACAGGACTGGGTGTCTTATTGGAAGCCAGGAGAGTGTAACTAGATTAATTTATAAAACTGTTAATTTCAAATTAAATCTGTACTTTTTGTAAAAAATAAAATAATAATAATAATACATTCTTTAGACATAAAGCACTTCAGCAAGCTTTTTTTTGCACACAGTTCAAATACTGTAAGCCAGAAAAAATGAAAACCTTGCTTAATTTATCCTCTTATGTGTTTATTTTCTCTATGCGGAGTACCAGGTGCCAGGTGGAAGGGACAGGGAGCCTCGATGGAGACATCCACTTAGAATAAAAATAGATATAGGTTGCTACATATAATTTTCTTTTTCAAAAATTATCAAAAAATCCTGGGAAGTGATTATATTTAAATAATACACAATAATATATTTAAATAGCAAAACTCCCTTAGAAAATTAAATGAGAAAATAAAAAAACAAAACTAGCGATGAACAGAAGCATGATCATATGAATATCTCACTGTGCCTCTTGTTTTGTTTTTCCCTTGGTATATTGTATATTTTGGTCAAGTACAGGGCAAGCTGACCGTACAATTGAACTTACCAATAAAATGGAAGTACAATGTACGATCACATTATTGTTTGCTTGTGGTTACAGGTGCAAATCCAACATCTTTGAAAATTTGGCATTAGAGATGGCGCGAACCGTTCGCGAACTTCCTGTGAACGGCTCGCCACGAACCGTTCGCGGCGAACTCCGGTCAGCTGACACATCCCGGCCAATCTCCAGCAGACCCTCCCACCTCCTGGACAGCATCCATGTTGAGCTTCATCTCGCGACATCTCTATTTGGCATGTGTAAGACTGATTTTATAGGAATTATTTTTTGCGAGATACAAATAATGAAATTCATTTCAGTATTAAAGGACCACTATAGTACCAGGAAAACATACTAATTTTCCTGGCACTATAGTGCCCTGAGGGTGCCCCCACCCTCAGGGTCCCCCTCCCGCCGGGCTCTGGGGGAGGAAGGGGTTAAACTTACCTCTTTCTCCAGCGCCGGGCGGGGAGCTCTCCTCCTCCTCTTCGGCTGAATGCGCATGCGCGGCAGGAGCCGCAAGCACATTCAGCCAGTCCATTCACAATGCTTTCCTACGGACGCTGGCATCTTCTCACTGTGATTTTCACAGTGAGAAATGCGGAAGCCCTCTAGCGGCTGTCAATGAGACAGCCACTAGAGGCTGGATTAACCCTAACATAAACATAACAGTTTCTCTGAAACTGCTATGTTTATAGAAAAAAGGGTTAACCCTAGATGGACCAGGCACCTCATTAAGCTGAAGTGGTCTGGGTGCCTATAGTGGTCCTTTAAAGGGCAAATGTCATGCTCCAAGTAACTTAGCTCATTAGATAGAGCATAGGATTTTATCTATATATTTGGCTAGCAGTGTAGCTACAGATTAGGAGTAAACCCCATTTAAAATTAGATTTTTCTCCTAGCCAATAGATCCCTCTGCTCTTCATCAATAGCAACCACAGTGCATGTGCTGCAGTTGCTATGGAACCTAGGGAGTATAGGAAGAAGGGACATGAGGTCACTCTGTTACGACACTGGCGACGAAGTTAGCGTGCCAATGTCACTGAAAAGATTTGCTATGCTTGGGAATGTGTCCCAAGCAGGGAAAAACAAGGAAGAAAAGAGGTAGAGTGGAGGACAGTCTAGAGGGCGGTGCAACACAGAGTAATACCAACAATGCAAAGCGTGTTGCCCAGCAACTCTCTTCACTCATATTGGCTTATAAAGCTTGTCTCACTGAAAGCTTGTTCCTTGAACAGAGCATGGGATGACTTAATGTTATATAAAGATCAACACAGAGGTGGTCCCAACCCAAGTTAATACCGATTTGGTTGTGTATGTTTGTTTGTTTTTTAACCCTTTTCTTTTATTTTGTCACACCTGGCGATCTCGGAGTTTTACAAATCTCTCACACACAGATACTCCAGTAGTTGTCTATCAGTCTCCTCCATAGTGTGTATTACCATTTACAAAAACTGAGGTGTGTGTGTCTCTGTTGAAACTTAGTCATAATTGGCATTGTCTGGCAATATTTCTCTTGAGCAAATAAGTTTTTCTTAATATTGTTTAACTTCATATGTAGCGCTTACTACGTAATCTATTTACCTCAATAAAACAATATTTACACATTTAACCCCAGACTGTCCTCTTCTAGGCTGCATTGGTAACTTGGAAACTAACAAGTATTACAGATTTAAATACTGTCCAACTGGGATGGCAGTGACAGGTTATATCAATAAGTCTGCTAGAATTGGTCAATGATAACTTGTCAACTTCGATTCAACTTTTTTTTTTTTTTTTTTTTTTAATAAAAAAAATCCCAAGCAATCAAACTTGAATCTTAGTAAAAATGCGAGGGATCTCCATTAGGCTAGTATATCGTTTTTCAACACAGGGCCATATTAAGAGCCCATTGGACAATTATGATGGGCCTAATTATAGAATCGTATTGACAGAAAACACTAAAACAGTCATACCTCCCGATCGTCATGTATCTGGTGGATTTGGTGCTGGAGGTAAACTCACAGAATATATCTGTAAGAAAACGCATACCCTATGCTAATGTCTGACTTTCATCTTTCAAGTAAATTCATACCCACTAAAAGCAGGATTTCAGTGGGTGGGGTAAAAGGGTGGGCCACTGACGCAAATCACATAACCAGAACTGCCCAAAAAAAAATCTGCCCGAGGAATTAGATGGTCAGCCTGGCATGAATGAATGTCAAGCTGCCTGCCAATTATGCATGCTGGCCAACTAAGGAAATACTATGCAGACAGCACCCTGAGCTTGGCATAAATGCTTCCAATGATGCGCTCCCTCCACGCTCCCTAAGGACTGTCCCCTAGCACTCTTTTGGTCACTCCTCTTCTTATCTGCTTAGCAGCAGTCAGAAGCTCCTGTTATACAGGCTGGGACAGAGAAAAGGTGTATGAAGTGAGTGTAGAAGAAAGGGAACACGCCAAAGAGTTAGAGAAACTGAAGCAGTAAGAGCATTTGCAGAGTGCGCAAAGTCAGCTTTACATTAACTAATTTCATTGTCAGCCAGTCCACACAAGTTTTGTTTCCCTACATCCACAAGTGAAGAGCAGTAAAAAAAAAAAAATAATATTTAAATTTACTTTTAGCCTATTCCATGGGCATGGGTCTGGAGCTGCAGCTCCATCAGCCCCTATCTTAATCCGGCCCGGTTTCTACAGGATGGAGTTCCAGTCTCCCCACTCGATACATTTAAATAAATTTGCCCCAGAAATCAATATGCCCAAGATCACGGTTGTGTCGAAAAGTGAAATTCTTCTTTAATTTCAACTATGTGATTGGGGCAGCAGTAAAGATCCCACACAAAAAAAAAAAAATAAACAATTTGTTTGGGTGCAAATTAAAAGATATTTGACTAGTAAGTACCAGTTGCAACTGATTTGTGCACAATATTTTTTTTCTCCTTAGAAGGCATAATGTACACCAGTGCCATGAGTACACTGCAGTGATGCACATTACTCTGAAAAACTTATCTGTAGGATTTAATTTCAAGTATTTATTATCCTACACAAAGTTCATTTTTCCATTAACAACTTTCCTTAGTTTCACAATAACAACTCGGTTGTAAACCTTAGTTGCCCTATCAGGAGCAGCATTTTCTATTTAAAGGACAAATGGATTAGATAATAGTTGGATAACAGTCCGATCTCTGATCTGGTAAATGCCAGAGGTTACTGTGTCTCAAGACTTGTTCTGGCTCTTGCAACATAACCTGTGGAAAAGAGAGGCGGCAATCGGCTAGTATGCAGCATTGATATATTCTTTTTTCCCCCTTTTCATGGTTTATTGATATACATGGCCTATCTCATGAATAACAGCAGTAAAATATACAATGTAAATCGTATAGTCATACATAACAGCCATACGTTATATTCTTCTTCTATATTTCTATGGCAGATAATTTAGCAGTGAGACTGCAGGGGCATTATTTATACAACAAAACTGCTTAATTAAAGGAACACTATAGGGTCAGGAACAAAAACATGTATTCCTGACCCTATAGTGTTAAAACCCACCATCTAGCCCCCTTTACCCTCCTAAGTATAGTCAAATCTTACCTTTACTCCAGTCTGCTGTTGCTCGTTCTGCCACTGATCTGCCTGCTTAGTTGACATCAGACATGTTGATCTGAGAAATCACAATGCTTTCCAGTAGGAAAGCATTGAATTGGCTGAGCTTGTCAAAGAGGCAGATCAGGGGCAGAGCCAGCACAAGCCAAACACAGCCCTGGCCAATCAGCATCTCCTCATAGAGATGAATTGAATCAATGCATCTCTAAGAGGAAAGTTCAGTGTCTGAATGCAGAGGATGGAGACACTGAATGGCAGTCACACTGTGCAGCACTGCCTCGGGAAGCAGCTCTATTAGCCATCTGAGGAGTGGCCAGTGAAGGTATCCCTATGCTGTAATTCAAACACTGCCTTTTCCCTGAAAACACAGTGTTTACTGCAAAAAGCCTGAAGGGAATTATTATATTCACAGTGTCCCTTTAAGCTAAAGTTGTTGTGGTGACTATAATTTTTAAATACATGTTGAGATCAATCTCAATAAACTGTTTATTTTCTCGTTTATTAATACAAATTGAAATCATACCAGTCCACAATCACAATGATTACTTACAGGGGATCCATTAGTTGCCACGGGGGCAGGTTCTTTGGCAAGTGGTACGGTGTAGGAAGTTGTCCCTTGGTTTGAGGAATTGCTGACTGTCTCCAAATAATCTGGTTCTGGCAATACGACGGCACCCTTTTCAACTAAGTTGGCCGTGCTAAGACTCCTAACAGGGGCAGGGCTTGGAGTTGCACTGCAGATATGAAATAAAAAACAAATTGATTAATCAGAGAGATCACCGAGAGCAAGTGTCAGATAACATGCCTGATTGGCTAGAATAAGGCATTGTTCTTGTACAGAGGAAACATTGAAGCAATTTTGTAATCCCTTCTTGTTTACAGAGCTATCTGGCACATTTGCTCTTACATTAGTCATGTTTGTATTTCAAACGTTGCATGAAAGATCGGGCACTACCAGAGCTGAGCATTCATTATCACGCTCCAGCCCATTGTGCCACTTTGTGTTCCCAAGCTACTTGCCTTGGTAAACTGCCATGGCCAACAGCGCTGTGAGTGGCATAGGTGTGGCCATGTAAATACAGGACTGCTCCGACTGACAAAGTTACAACTTGCGTTTTTCTAGCTGGGACAGAATAGTTGTTGTGCTAATGGAAGCCTGTATTGAAACATAGAGATGAGAAAAGGAATGGTTCATATGAATGTATAACGGAACCAAAATTTTACCTTTGTACATTTGGCGACTCGATTCCATTTTCTTCTATTGGCCTTGTGTAAGATGATGGGAACCAACCTTTTCTGCAAGGGGGGGGAGGGGTAAAAAAAAATAATATAAAATTAAGAATTAAGAATTAGCCAAACATAATAAGCTTACTGGCCATATGATGTTGTTGCAACCTTTACAGCTCACACACCAGTTCGTTTTGCCCTATATAGGGATCAGCAAATGAAAAAAAATATATAATTATCTCCGTTATGCCCTTTTGCCAAGACAATGCCATTCAATTGGCAAGACTGGTTTTGGTGCAATGCCTTCTGCAGACTAGAGCCCGAGGAGGCAGACTAGTTGGACTAGTTTATAGGGTCGTAAGTAACACCACTTTGTATCTTATCGCTTGAGCACACAGTCATGGATCATTAGCCAGGCGTAGCAGGGGTTAAAGATTGCGAAATTGCTCTAGTAAAGAACATAACAGTTTTAACAGCCTCACTCTATTTTAAGTAAGCAATTGTCTTTTACGGTCTGTGATGGAAAAAAAATAAAAAATACATTGATTTTGATTTTATTCTTCAATCTCGGGTGCTCTACCAGAGGCCTGAGAGTTCTGTATAATATTTTCTTTTTTCTGGATGATAATGCGCAGAAATAAATATATAATGCCTTGATTTACAAGTAAGGCTTGACCGAGAGAAAGAGCAAGCTGACATTTAAAACGATTTTTACTTGAACTCTTCGTTTTATTCTATTTCAAAGCACAATGTTAATTGGAGTGTAAAGATAATATATCCAACGATTCAGATGGCAGAGATTATAATAATCTAACTTTACTAATGTTGCTTTTTTATAGTGCTTCTGTTTATATCTCTTTCATTCTACTAAAGAGCTAAACTATATTTTATGGTGTTCTTTCCGATGTCAACAAGGCTGGGCATGGCCGACCTTTAAACAACA